TGGCAGTTGCCATCAGCATGAGATTCACCCACTCCTAGCACCCATAGTAACTTTCCTACAGTCTCTGGGATGCCCCCTCATTGGCCAGACCTGGGTCACGTGTCTGTGTCTGGGCCAGTCACGAGCTAGAGAGATGGGATGTGCTGATTGGCTCCACTTGGGCCACATGGTCCACCCCACAGTCGAGCTAGGCAAGGGGGAAGCGCCTCAACACAATGAGAGGCCTTACCAGGAGCAGGGAGGGAGAAAATTCTTTGTCACATCTGTAAATATTTTGAGTGCCTGCTATGTCCCATGCACTGGTTTAGGTGTTGGGGATACAAAAATGAACAAAGCTGGGCCAGAGATTTAGCCCAGTGGTTCCGCCGCCTGCCTCACAAGCACAAGGTCGCAAGTTCGATCCCTGGTACCAAAAAAAAAAAGGACAAAGCTGAAAAATATCTGTGCCTTTAGGGAGGTGACATTCTGGTGAAGAGACTTGGCACAGAAGTAAGCAAAACAGCCAGTTGCCGGAGGTGGTAAATGCTACCAGAGAGGGCAGAAACTTTAGTTTCAATGTGCAAAGGTGGAATCTGAGCAGAGATTGGAAGGAGGTAAGGAAGGGGCCACAAAGATACTGTATCTGGATGAAGGCTCCAGGCAGAGGGAATAGCAAGTGCAAAGGTCCTGGGGTGGGGCCCACCCAGCATGTTCACAGGGCAATGAAGAGTCCACATGCCTGGAGCCAGGTGAGTGAGGGAGAGAAGAAAGGAATAAGGTCAGAGGGGTGCCAAGGCAGGCTGTGTAGGGTCTTAGTGGCCCCTCGGAGAGTTTGCAGGTTGTTGAAGGCCTTTAGCAGAGGAAGACAGGCTCTTGCTTTTGTTGAAACGGGATCCTTCTGGCTGCTTCATGAGAGGGAGGCTGTTGCCACCATGTGGACATGATTATACTGCCTTACACACTCCGGGCCCTTGGCAATATCTGTAAGAAGATGGAGGAGCTCAGCGGGCAAGCAAGCTGGACCACCTGGGGGTCTGGGTCGGTTGTGGGGTGCTGGCTCCCAGGCATCTCTGCCCACTCTGTGCCTCCTTCTTCCTCTTGTCAGGACTGTCCCCTATCACTCGTGCCTTGTTCTGCTCTTCCACGTCCTCTCCCACACCCTCAGCTGCCCGATCCCAACCTCTCTGTGCCTTCTGTCAGATTTGGGGATCCTCAGAGGAAGTAGCCCATCTGGGGCTTTCCTGGCAGGCCTTCGTGAGTTCCCAGCCACTCCCCCACAGCTGTGGTGAGCAGGACTGGAGGTCAGTGATCACCCCAAGACCCCCTGCCCTGTAGATTAGCAGAAGCAGGAGCACTATCTACACTCTTGGGACATCAGGTGTGTCTGGAGACGTCCTGCTGGGCTGGGGCCCTTCGCCAAGTCCTGTGAGAAGACACAGGACAAAGAAGAGCTGCTGGACAGGCCTTCAGAGAGCCAGGGGGACAGGCAGCATCTGTGGTGTGGATCGGGTGTTAATCAGCAGCACTACATGATTCATCACAGACTCGCTACAGCCACTTGGAATGTTTTACCAAGAAGGAAAAAAAGATGCAGAATCCCTTGTGTCATTTTTAATTGATTCCTTGGGCATCCAGAGAAAGGCTGGCATGAGGCCAGGATGAGTCTGAGCCGGGGGAATTCATCAAAAATCGACCCACTGATGACTTGATCTGATGGAATAATTAGCTCTTGTTACCCTGTGCCCTGGTTTCGGGGCTCTGACTCCATCTACAGGAAGGAAGGAAGGAAGGAAGGAAGGAAGGAAGGAAGGAAGGAAGGAAGGAAGGAAGGAAGGAAGGGCATCCTGTTGGCAAGTGAGACCAAGAGGAGGGGTGCTCAAAGACCAGGAGGGAGCCAGGCCCGGAACCCAGAAGCCCGGCTGATAGTGTTCTGTCCCCACCCCACCGGCCCAGTGCTCCCCAGACAGCCTGTATCTCCCAGGTCCCTTTACCCACACAGTAGAGCTCCAGAGCCTTAAAGACCCTCAGAGAACACCTGGCCACCTGTTGCTTTATTTGGCAAAGGAAGAAACTGAGGCCACGGTGTGTGTTTTGGCTTCTGTCTGGTTGTCCCCCCATGCCTCATGCAGTCATAGGTGGGGCTTTTTCAGAGGTGGCTGGGTCTAGAGTGTGTGGTTGATTCATGGTACAATGCTAGGATTAAGGGTGGGTAATTACTAAATCAGACCCCTGATCAGTTTGGCACCACCCTAATCCCAGTAGCTTGGATACATATAAGGCACAGGAATGCTTGTTTTCCCTTGTTGCTTCCTTGCTTGCTTTGCTGTCTTCTGCCTACCATGAACTATTTCTCCTCTGTGATGCCCCTCTGTGGTGCCACCCTGCCTTGGAGCCAGATGATTATGGACTGAACCCTCTATAAACTGAGCTAAATAAACCTTTCCCCCTTTAATTTTGGGTGTCAGGTATTTTGTCTGAGCAACGAGAAAAGAGCAATACAATGTTCCTAGGAACTGGCTCCCAGATCTGCCTCCAGAGGGTCTGTCGAGCAGGCCAAGTCTAGCCAGATGAGTGTGAACCCTTCTCTGCCACATGATCGTGGGGCAGTGATGTTAACTGGGCCTTGCCTTCGCCATCTGTTAAATGGGTTTAATATCAACAGGTAAACAATGGGTGGACACCTGTAAAATGCTCCAGGGAGTGGCTGGGCCATGCGAGCTCTCAGGAAGCATTTGTTGTTCTTAGTTCTAGAGGGAAACAGTTGGCGTGTGGAGAGCAGACCTTGGGAATCTCCTTGCCATGTTATGCTGTCTCTGTGGCTGTGAAGTTGGAGGAGCGTGGACGTACATCCCACGGGGGAGGGGGCATCCCGTCATCAGGGTGGTTCTTAGACCTAGGAGATGGCGCGGGTGTTCCTCCCATCAGCCCTCAGTGCCGCCAAGTCCGGGATGGTGTTGATGTGCTGCCTCCTTTCCACGCCCTCTGGCCTGTCCTGAAGAGGGCGCCCAAGAGCGGGGGGGGGGGGGGGGGACAGGGCGGGGCAGGGGTGCACAGGGAGCAGGTGCCTCGGGCAAGCTTTCTTTGACACTATGCGATTACCTCCACACGAAGGGACGCCCATTTCCATTTATGCCTGGGTGGGTAGAATGTTCCATTCTTCAATACTGTGTGTTTGTAGTTTTGTTTTAAAATAAGACCATTTAAAGAAGTGCATTAAGCAAATAGTCAGCAAAGGGCGGCTGCAGGCTGCAGGCGGGGCCACTGCTTGAGCAGTGGAAGCTGGGAGCCCAGCGGGGAGGTGAGGAGCAGGCACGAGCTTTTCGGGGCTTGGAAGACAGTGGTTGAGCCTTGGTTTCCTCAGCTGTGGAATGGAATGACGGTGCCTGCCGCAGGGGTCGCGTGGGGCCTGAAGCAGACCCTTCAGGAGAGGAACCACAACCCCGTGCTGCGGGGCGAGCTCTGCCTCGGCATCCTGCGCACACTCCTTTGATCTTTCACACCCAGCTTGCAGCTGAGGAGACCGAGGCACAAAAGTTCAGTTCCTCACCTGAAGTCACTCAAAGGGATTCCAGAGAACACTTGTGGCACCAGGCATGTGGCCCTTGAGCAGCAGCAGCTGCACCGCAGGTGGTAACAAGCACAGAGGTTGGGAAGGGGCCCATGTGTCCCCTCTGTGGCTGCTGGGATGCTGCCCTCTGGGTGGCCCGCTGTCCTGTGCTCAGGGTTGCCCTGTTGTCGGTCCCAGGTGTGGAGAGGCACTGTGGGGGGAGTGGGGCGGGGCAGGCCACCCTGGGCAGCCTCTTACTGCATCCAGGCCTGGGACGGGACCCTGAGTGAGGCAAACCAGGTGCTCCGGAGACAAGGGAAGAGGCAGCACCCAGAAGCCAGCAGCCGAGAGGACCCATTATGACCCTGGGCCTGGGGCAGGAGAGCCAGAGGCTCCTGGCCCAGGTGAGCTGGAGCCAGGAGGCCGACAGCAGCTCTGGCCATAGGCAGAGAGCCAGGAGCACTAGGGAGCTACTGCATGCTGGGGAGGGAGCAGCTGTCTCCTGCTCAGTGGTCTGATCTTCATCGGAGAGAGGTCTCTCTAGCTGGCCCCCCAGGAGGTGGAGAGAGGGGAGAACCTCAGCAGCTCTTGTGTCCCCAGGAGAGAGGATGAGGCGACACCACCCCCTGCAGGACCCAGAGCCCTTGCTGAGCGCCCTGAGCCCAGTCTTTATGGCTAGGTTCTGCGATGGACAGCAGACCGAAGAGCAAGCGCAGGGTGAGATCAGAGACCAGCTGGGCCAAGGTCTGCTGTCCGCCTCCCCTACCCCACCCTGACTTGTGGCCTGGTCTGACCTGGGGACCAGGGGGTGGCTGAGGTCACAGAAGAGTGTGACAGTTCTTCTCCCACACTCTTAGCCCTCCGTTTTCTCTTCTCATTTTGTTTCCTCTGCAGCCTAAGACTGATAGGACACCATTTGTCCAGCTCTGAGATCTGTTGCCAAGGGGCTTTGACATGCCTTCAAGTAGACTGAGTTCTTACAATGGCCGTGGCCCCCTCTTTTATTCGTGGGGAAACAGGCTCCTTCCTGGCTTGTTGGTGGGGAGACCAAGCCCAGGAGAAACTGGTCTGGGATGGGAATTGGCAGGCGGTGCAGCCCAAAGCTAACCGGTGGCCCTTCCAGCCTGGGGTCTACACCTCAGTGACCATCCACTGCCCCAGGCCACACAGAAGCAAGCTGGCAAGAATGCCCCTGTCCCCTTGAAAGCCACCACTTCTCCTTCTCTGCTATTGAATGGAGCAGGGTAACATTCAGAGCCAGGCTGGTCACTGACCACCTTGAGCTGTCCCTGGGGAGAGTTCACAGGGGCCACAGAGGCCTTGCAACCAGTCTGCCGCTACCCCCGGGCCAAGTCCTGCATCCACCTGCCGTGGCCCTGAGCAGAACTCTCACTGTCCACACCGGCCGCCTGCAAGGCCCATGCAGAATGAGCAGGACGTCCCCCGTGACCCGATTCTTGTCCTTCTCCCCTAGGTTGTGAGTCAGGAGGGAAGAAGGGAAAGGATAAGATCTCCAAGAGGAGCACCAGGTCAGCCGAAAGCTAAGATGGTGCCCCCCAGCCTGCTGCTCTGCCTGCTGTCCGCAACGGTCTTCTCCCTGCTAGGCGGGGGCTCAGCATTCCTGTCCCACCACCGCCTCAAGGGCCGCTTCCAGAGGGACCGCAGGAACATCCGGCCCAACATCATCCTGGTGCTGACCGACGACCAGGACGTGGAGCTGGGTAAGCGCCCCGACCCGCAGGGCATCTTGGGGCTCTGCCTGAGGCAGGGCAGCCGTGGAGACATGAGAACTTGCTCCTGGGTGCTTTTAAACCAGCTCCCACTTGGGGTTCGGAGCTGATCCTCAAGGCGAAGGGGTCCCTAGTCATCTGATGCAGAACCGTTTCTGAATTTCCCAAAGTCTCAAAGAGATGCGCAGTGGATTTGCCCAGCCAGCCCCATCCTGGGCCACCACCTACCCCGTCCTCTAGGCCTCCCCCTCCTCCACAAGGCCGTGGGTTCTCCTCCCACCACGTCCTCAGCGGCACCAGGAGGAGACCCCAGAAATGGGGCCCACGGGATTGGGGCCTCCCAGCCAGACCTTCTGCGCCCAGGGTCAGACTCCACGTGTCCCCATTCCCCCGTGGCTCTGTCCCAGTCAAAACTGTCTTCTCTTGATCTTGTGTCTTCTCCCCCTTGAATTTTCTGATTCTATGGGTCACGTTTCTCCACTGAAACCCTGCATGACTGCTGTGCTACAGAAATACTCCAGGCCTCTGTGTGCACCAAATCCATGTCTTTGTGTGGGTTCAGCAAACTGTGGATTGAAAATAGAGGGGAAATTTTTCATCTGTACTAAACGTGTACAGACCTTTTTCATTGTCATTATTCCCTAAACAATAAAGATGAGCCCTGCCATCTGCATTTTCCTGCTCCTATAAATTAGATTTCCCTTCTTAGCATCAGTACTACCCTGTGGTATGAAAATCGAGGGAAAAGTGTCATAGGGAGAGGAAGCAGTGTGTGCAAAGGTCCTGAGGCAGAACAAAGAAGGCCAGTGTGGCTGGAGCCTGGGGAAGTAAAGTAAAACACAAAACTGGATGGAGGGGTGAAGGAGATCTCAGAGGCACTGGGGGGTCATGGTAAGGACCACTGATCATTGATCAGGTGGGAGGTGGGCCCTTTGCTTCTGTCTCCTCTCAGAAGACAACAGAATATTGGTTGATGGCAACTTGATTCTGTCTTTTTTAGCTATCCAGTAAAAGGTTCTTTCTATAAAACCCAGTCACTCCTTGCAATGATTTGTATTAATGATCACAAGTATAGATTTTTCTCGGGGAGCTTATCAGTGTGAAAGGAATTTGCAGCCAGGAAGCGACCAGAGTCCTGAGCCTTTATCGACAATTTGACGCATTTGATCCCTGTCTCCCGCAGCAGGCAGAACGAGGTGCATTTGATAGCCATGGGGAGTCTGCAGACTGCAGCCGTGAGGACGTGAGTTTAGGGTTGGCAGAATTTGCAGACAGTGCTTGCGTGCAGCCGCTGGACCTCAGAGACCCTTGGTCTCACCCTGCGTGGCCCCTCAAGCTGTTTCATGGGGAGGCTGGGGAATTAAGAAGCCCTGGATGACCCTTCATCCATGAGGCAGCTCCGTGTATCACAGCATGCCAGGTGCTGGGGGTGGACAGGGACCACCCTCCGGAGCCAGCACATGAGCGCGGGCCATGCTTGGAGAGAGGGGCCAGGAGCTGGCCAGCCCGGGGGTGTAGAGCCCGGGGCCCACACTGAGGGGCTTCAGTGCTGCTCTTAGTGAAACGGACACAGAGGAGCACCACAGTGCACCCAGGTCCCAGCAGGCCCCTCCAGCCCTTCCACTGAGATCAGGTGGCCGGGGGGCAGAGCAGAGGCTTCGAGGCCCACGGGAGGCCGGTGCGGTAACTGGGCTGCGTGTGGAAGCTCAGAGCAGGTGGCGCAGCAGAGCTGGCAGGACAGACGAGGCCCTGGTGGCTGTGTGTTTGCCAAGTGAACGGGCGGATGGATCGGAGGTAGAGCAAAGAGAAGAGTCAGAGGAGCCCCAGATCTGGGGCCCGAGCCCAAAGGTGGGGAGGGAGCCCCTGTGCCCCATGGCAGAATCTGCCTGCAGTTTACACGTGGGACTCTTCATAAAGCCAAGAGAATAAGCAAAGAGAAGGAGCGGCGCTGTGGATGTGACGAGGATGAGGGGAAAAGACAAGAAAGCAAAACTGCGGCTGACTCACAGTACAGAGTCTCCTGCACCAGGTTTCACCGCTCTAGGACTGAGGCGTGGAGAAGTTAAGCTACATGTCCAAGGTCGCACAGCCAGTATGCGGTTCAACGGGAATTGAACCCAGAGCCCATAGTCTTAACTACCTTTATTCTTAACCAGTTTCCTGGGGTGCACATTGAGCTGTTTCTAGAGCGCTGATGTATTTGTTTGTTTTCCACTGTTACAAATCCTGTTGCTGAGAATATCTTTTCTCCGAGTCTTTGCACCCGTGAGTGACTGTTTCGGAAAGATAAATTCCAGGAAGCAGTGCGGGATTAGAGCCCTCGTGTTTCGTGGCATGTGACTCCCTGGCACACATCGGTGCCTGCCCGTCCTCCCCTCTGGGACAGAGCCAGGCCCTCCCCCCTCAGCAGACCCGGCTTTTGAAGCATGTTGAGCTTTCTCGGGAGGTGAGGGGCAGGAAGGGGTAGTCAGGGGGCTGTGATGGGCTTTTTATAAACCACTAGACAGACCCAGATCAATAATGCATGTTCCAAAAAAGCCCGGTGCATTATCTCACAGTCTGCTACAACTGGCAAGCAGAGGGTGGTCCTAAAAAATTTATCATCTGCTATTTTCTGCTCATCCGTGCAGCAGCTCTGACAGTTCTCCGGCTGGAGGCTTCTCTGCTGAGACAGTCCAGGCCTCTTCCAGCCCCAGCATGGAGGGCAGCCGTCCACCCTAATTAGGTCTACACCAGAGGCCGGGCACAAGATGCATCAGGGAGAGGGCAAGTCCTGCTTCTTTCCTGCAGGGCTGGGGGCGGGAGCAAGTATGGTCCTTTTCCTTTCCTTGAGTGCCTCTGACTCCCTGGACTTGCTTGGAAGTGTCACCTGCCCAGGGAAACTTGTTCCTGGGGGATCTTAGTCAGTGAGTGGCCCAAGTGGGTGATACATTTGTGACGTATTCAGGGAAATCCTTGAGTCTGGATCAGCCTGGGAGACCAGCGGGCCCATGGCTGCTTTTCCAACCTGGGCAATGAGAAAGGAGAAGCCTAGAAGCTGAGGTCCTGTTTCACGATGCCCTTTGGTCAGGGAGGCGGAGCCCTGGGGACCTGGCCAGGTTTGCTGCTTTAATGTGACCCAGACCAACCTTTGGTGAGCCGCGGGCTGGGCGGCGACACCAGGAGGGCGTGGTCCGGCAGCACAAGTGTCTTTGCAGCACCCTGGTTCCCGAGATGCTCTCTCACCAGGCTCACTTCCTAAAGCTCCAGTGGGACTGGAGCCTCCTCAGCAGGGCCAGCCGCTCTGCATGGGACGCACACCCGTGGGCGCCACGTGGCCCTGGGCTTGTGGCCAAGGCCGAGGGTACAGCCAGGCCCCAGGCCCCAGGCCCCAGAGTGTCGGGTGCTGCTCTGCTGCTCTGCTGCTCATTCTCCTGAGGGCCCAGCCAGGGAGGAGTAAGATGCCTCTTAGAGGCTCCTTTAGATGGTCAGATTTCAGCTGTGCCTCCCCCCAAACTGGATGAACCATGGAGAATCATGGAGAATTTCACATCAAAAGGACCTTTTTGCCTCTTCAGGTATGAATAAATACTCCAGGGAGGATGTAGGGTAAGTGCTGAGGAGCTCGCGGCTGGGCTCAAATCCTTGTCCTGCCACTGACTGTGTGGCCCTGGGAAAGTTACTCTCTGTGCCTCTGCTTGCTCCTTACACATTGAAGGTGACCATGTGTCTTCCTGCTGTGTTCCTGGGTGTCCTGGATGCTGAGGCGTGCTGTGTGTGTGGTAGTTTGAGCTCACTCGGAGGGCCAAAGCCTTCCTCCTTCAGTGCCGCTGGGCCAGCACTGTGGAGTGCTGCTCCCTACACTGCTATGTTTAAGGGTGAGTTTCCCGTGCGTGTCTCGTAGCCCTGAAGGGTGGGGTCACCGCAGTCCCCCCTGGCCGATGTGGTCGGGTGAGCTGGCCAGGGGCGGGCAGCACTGCCAGGACCGTGAGCTCGGGTTTGCATGGCCCCAAGCAGTTGAGTCTGCATTGGCTCTTCCGCTGCTGTGCTGTGGGCCAGGGAGCAGAGGATGTCAGGGTTGCAAAGTAGATGTAAAACCGTGAGTCCCAACCCTCTATGCCAGCCTAGATTTTCTCTATGACAGGTGATTTCTTGAAACTCAAGCAGGACTGAGCAAACAGAAAACTGAAATGGACTTCATTCAAGCATGTGGAAAGTCCAAGTGTATTTTGAGTTTCAGGCGTGGTGGATCCAGGACGGTCACCTTCAGATGTCACGTGTGTTTGAATCTCCCCGGTCTCTGCTTTCCTCCAAGTTGGCTCCATCCTTGGGCCAGCTCGCCATATGGCAGCACTCTGGCATCGCCGGGCCTGTGCAGGGACAGAGGCTGTCTCCCCAGATGCCAAGGAAAGTCCCCAAGTGAGTCTCGGCCTGATGTTCTCTGCAACACCGTGAGCTGTTCAGAGGGGTGGAACCCAGTGCTCGGCCATCCTCGATCATTCCACATGCCTGGCGCCACTTGCACCATGAGGACTGGGAGTGGGCCAAGCGTGGGTCCCTGCAGGAAAACAGGAGCTGCACACGAGGCGGTGGAGTGACTGGTGGACGTGCCATCCGGGGGATGCTGCTCCCTCGTGGCATCTCTGCAGCAGGATGCTCAGATGTGGACCAGACTAAACTCACTCACCAGGTGTTCAGGGAGAACCTCCTGTGTGCTGTGGTGATGATGCAGCAACAAATAGGCAAACTCTCTGCTTCCGTGTTTATGTGACAGTGAAAGAATTAACACACAAGTCATATAAAGTGTGTAGTGGACATGAGAGTGGAAAGCGGCGAGAACAAACCAAAGGAGGGGGATCAAGCAAGGAAAGGGGTGCAGAGGGGAAGAGTTGTGACTACACAGGGTGCCCTTGTTGTGAAGGCGACCTGTGAGCATTCGCAGCAGTCCTGGGGCCCTGAGGCAGCTTTGCCACCAGAGGCCAGGGTGGAGTGGCAGAGCAGGGTGAGCCAGG